GAGGAGAGAAAAAGAGAGAAAGTAAGAAAGAGAAGGCACCTTCAATGGACTCTTCATGACACAATCCACTCCCAGCCTTGGCCAGCCAGGATCATCGGCAAGCATGCACCAGCCTGCAGAGGGAAGCCCTGGGATACAAAACCAGTACTTTCCACATAAGTCCAGTTGGATTTCCGCTGTGCCACCATCTGGCCCTTTCTCTAGTTCTTTATCATTAATATGAGTGCATGCTTTGTATATTTCATTTGTATTTTGTTTAAGTCAAAATTCTTGAATTAACTAATCTATTCTTTATAATTTATTAACTTCTGCTTTTAACTTTATTATGACTTCCTAATTTTCCAGGATTTATTTAGTGGTAGTCGTCTACATTTTGAGATGATGAGTAATTCATTTGTTTTCATTCATTTTTGTTCAATTTATGACATTTTCTATATATTGGTCAAATTTTGTAAATATCCCAAGGACACTAGAACAAAATGTTTTTGTTTCTTTGTAGGTTAACGATGGAAGTATTTAATTACTGGATACTTCAGGTAATTACATCTTCATGTCCTTTGAATTCTGGATTGCACAAGAAATATTCCCCTTATAAATTATGTTTTTGAATTTTTTCCTTCAATTCTCTTTTTGCTTTAAAATGACTTATCACTTGGATTCTGTACAACCTTTGCTTTTTCTAAGTTTGCATCACTTGGTGCTTTGTGGATGCTGCTATTTTAATCTTTTTTTTTTTTATGAGAGGTTGTTTTTTTTTTTTTCTTTTTTTGCTATAGGGCGCGTGCGCTTGCCAGACAGACAGAGAGAGACATAGAGACAGAAAGCGAGAAATCACCCCCCAGAGGGGATGGTCACGCCGCAATCCCTTCTCCTCCATTCTCCTCTCGGGATCTTGGGCACACACGCACACGCGCCCGGCGTGAGTTTTAAGCCACCAGGTCCGGGATGCGAATCACGGTCGACTATGTGGGAGTCCAGTGACATAGCCATTACGCTAACTGCTGGTTCCCTGCTATTTGAATCTCAATTTTAATATTTTTAGAATACTTATGTTGTAGGTGTATATCTTCTAGGTACCATAAACTAGACTTTATTTCTTGAATCATTCTGAAAGTCTGCATTTTGATAAAGGAATCAGACCTGCTTATCTTTGTCTCATACCTGATTTGTCTACATTGGTGTCGTAATTATTTTGGTTTTTGCCTTTAATATGTTTGTTGTTGTTTGTTTTACTTCACATCATTACAATTATGGGGCCATGTGTTTTTTTTTTTTTCTTTTTTTCCCTTGATGGTGTTCAATTTAGCCCTAAGGTAATTACAACTGATTTATGAATATTGTCAAGCCTATATACTTTATGTAATTATTGCAGCCAATAATGAAGCAGTACCTAACGACTTAGTACATGATTTATACCTAATAATGTATTATGTTGTCAGAAAAGTCACGACATATTTTTCTATGCAAAAGTGCGTCATGACTTTGCTGACGTCTACCTATCACAATAAGGTAAGGAGGAAAAATATAGTGCATCCTTATGACTCCTCTGCTTTTCCTTCCAGATGTACCTGTATGCTGTCAAACATCTTGCTCTAATGTTGGTAAGTGATTATCTCTACTTTGTGCTTTTTATTTTGTTTCCAAGAGTCATGGAGTTTGCATGCTCTTTTTGACTTCATTGAGAATAATTAGGCCCGTGTGTTTAAGTTGTTTCCATGTTCACCGCCAGCATCACAGTCTTCTCTGATCAACTCTTTTGACTCGCTTAGTAGTTGTCCGATAAACATCTTAGAGCACTTTTTTTTAGGCTAAAAATACAATTTATTTTAGGGATTTTTACATATCTGAAAGTCTTCATATTGCTCTGGAAACTACATAACACCCTGGCAGGCCTGTTTTTGGAGCAAAACCCTCCCCTCTACTGTGCAATTGCCACTTTCTGGCATTGACACAACCTTATGTTGTATGTTGTGGAGAACATGCAAACCTAATGTGTGCTCTTTGTAGATAGGGTTTTTTTTTTTCTTTTTTGGAGGGCGTTTTGCTATAGGGCACATGCATTTGCCAGACAGATAGAGAGAGACAGAGAGACAGAAAGTGAGAAATCACCCCCCAGGGGGGATGGCCATGCCGCAATCCCTTCTCCTCCATTCTCCTCTCAGGATCTTGGGCACGCACACACATGCGCCCGGCATGAGTTTAATCCATGGGGTCTGGGACTCAAAGCGCAGTCGACTACATGAAAGTCCAGTGATATAGCCATTACGCCGACTGCTGCTCCCAATAGTTTTTGTTGTTGTTGTTTTATAAATTCCTTGCCTGGACATCTGAAGAATTCTTTCTTTATCCTTGAGATTAAAAAAAAAAAAATCACTAACAATCACTGTGTGTTGGTTGCTTTTAATTAATTATGCCTAGGGAGCTCATTCTATCTACCTGTTAGATCTTTCTAAATTCAGGTATGTTTTCTTCTGCTACATCCTATTTTATACACACACACACATACAGACACACACACACACAGTTATATATATTTTACATAATTTATATATTATTATGAAGTCACAATTACTGCCAAAAAGAAAGAGAAATCACTCCCTGAGGGGATGGGCATGCTTCAATCCCTTATCCTCTATTCTTTTCTTGGCATTTTAGGCATGCAGGCACAACCCAAAACCGGCATGTTCTCAGGCCACCAGATATGGGACTCAAACCAGTCAGTTGGCCATGTAAGAACCAGCTACCCTAATCTCCAAACCAACTGCTAGCCCTTTTATCCTTCGTACTGATTTAATTTCTTTTTTTAAAAAAAAACAAAAACAAAAAAAACCACTTTTATTTAAGCCCAGCCATGGCCACATGCACTGGTAAGATGCTCTGCTCTAGAGGCTGGCATGGGTTTGTTTCCTGGTGCAACCCAAACGTCAGGCATGATTCCAGGTGTGCCTGGAATCACAGTAACTTGGAAAGGCTGATGTAGGAGGACTGCAAGCTTGAGGCTGGCCTGGGTAAAACCTGTCTTTGAAGAAAAAAGTGTTTCAATTCAGAATTCTCTATAACTCTAAGTTGATTTTCCCCCTTATTTTCTTTTCCTTCCTTTCTTTCTTTCTTTCTTTCTTTCTTTCTTTCTTTCTTTCTTTCTTTCTTTCTTTCTTTCTTTCTTTCTTTTCTTTTTTTCCTGCCATTGGGCATGTGCACTCACTAGAGAGAGACAGAGAGAGGGCAAGCGAGAAATCACATTCCCCGGGGGAAATGGTCGCACCGTAGCCTCTTCTTCTCTGTTTCTCTCTTGGGATTTTGGGCACGCATATACCAGAGTGATCTGCAAGCCGCTGTATGTGGGATTTGATGGACAGTCATGTGGGAATGCAGCGCCTTAACCATCATGTCTGCTGGCCCCTCTATATTGAGTTTTATTTTCTGAGCACAAATGTCTTTTCTCTGACCACTTCACTTCTTAGTCCTTGTGCTCTAGCCTTTCAAGAGCATCTCCAGCTTGTCTTTCACATCTCTGTTGATATTTTTTTTAAATCCATTTTGTTCTTTGCTACTTCCAGTGCCATTTCCAAAGAAGAAATAAAACTGTCATTGTAGATGACAGTATTATCTATGTTGAAAATCTGAAAGAACTGACAAACTCCTAGAACCAGTAAGTGATTATAAAAAGGTTGCAGGATACAAGATTAATATACAAAATTCAATTACTCCTAGCAACAGAGAAGTAGAATTTGAAAGTAAAAACATAATACCATTTACATTAGCACTTCCCAAAATGAAATACTTAGGCATAAATCTAACAAAATACATGTGTAATATCTATGTGAAAAAAACCTACAAAATCCTCATGAATGAAATCAAAGAATAACCAAATAAAGTGAGAAATAGCCCATGATTGTGGATAGTAAGACTCAGTATTGTCAAAAAGTCAATTTTTCTCAACTTGATCTATAGATTCAATCCCGATCCAAATCCCAGCAAGTTATGTTGTAGATATTGTGGATATTGATGTGGTGATTACAAATTTTATATGAAGACACAAAAGACCTAGACTAGACAACACAACATGGAATAGAACAAAGCTGAAGGACTAACACTACCTGACTTCAGTATTTACTATAAAGCTACACTAATTAAGTGTGATATTGGTGAAAGAACAGACAAATGAGGAAAGAGAATCACATAGGTATACTAGGTCATTGGGAAAGTCATGACGTATCTTTCTATGTTTTTTTTTAAGCAAAAATACATCATGACTTTCTCAATGACCCAGTAGTTCCTTAAAAGATAGGCTAGAAGCCTTAACAGACACCTCACCAAAGAAAATATACATATGGCAAATTAGCAAATGAAAAGATGCTGTACATTATATGCCATCAGGGAAATGCAAATTAAAACAACAATGAGATTCTAACACATGTCTAGTAGAATGTCCAAGACCCAGAACACTGATGCCAAATGCTGGCAACATTATAGAGCAATGGAAACTTTCATTCATAGCTATTGGAAATGCAAAATGTTACAGAGACTTTGGAATACAGTTTAGTGGTTTCTGATGAAACTAAACATACTCTTAGTATACAATCCCACAATCAAATTCTTTGGTATTTACCCAAAGGAGGAGAAAACTTATGTCCACATAAAAACAAAACATAACAACATAGTATTTAGAGAAGTTTAGTAATAATTTCTAAAACTTGGAAACAATCAATCAAGATGTCCTTCAGCAGATAAATGGATAAATAAACTGTATACATCCAGATAACAGAATATTACTACATACACACAAGGAGCTATCATGCCATGAAAAGACATGGAAGGAACTTAAAAGCATATTTAGCCAAGTGAAAAAAGCCAATCTGAAAAGACTGCATATTATATGATTCCAACTATATCAATTCTAGAAAATGCAAAACTACGGAGACAAGTAAAAATATTAATGCTTTGGATCAGAAGGGGACAACGAATAGGTAGAAAACAGGATTTTTAGGAGAATGAAAATACTCTGATACTATAGTGATGGATACCTATATTAAACATTTATACCAACCTATAGAATGGACAACAGTAAGAGTAAACCCTAATATAAACTATGGACTCTGGGAAATAATGATATATCAATGTGGGTGTATCAATTGTAATAAACGAACCACTCTGGTAAGGGATATTGATAGGGACTATATCGAGAATCTCTGCACTTCCTGTTAATTTTGCTGTGAACCTAAAATCTCTAAAAAAAAAAAAAGTATTAAAAAAATGAAACTTTTTAGGGCACAGTGCTAGTTACAGGGTCCCCTCACTGTGACTTTATTCCAGGTGTTCGAACAGACTCAATAGTCCGTCTAGGTCCCAGCCATGAGCTAAAAACCAGCTAGCAAGTAGATTGCAGACTGTAGTAGATGCTACAGAAGATATCCTACGGGTCAAGCACCATTACATTTGATAGAGATCAGCAAAAAATTCCTCTGAGCAGAAGACATTTGAGCAAAGACATGAAAGATAAGAGGGAACTTATTAGAAAACAGAAATGAGGCCAGCATGTTGGAGCAGAGGGATGCATGCTGGTATCTTCCATCAGCTCTCCAAATCTAGAATTACCTTCTCCTCTCTGTTTATCTCAAGATCCCTGACCCTCTGGTTTAACAGGAAACATGAGCAGTAGATTGGTGGCTGGGTGGATAAGGAGGTCACCTAAACTATGTATTCTTGCAGCTCCTACTCACCTGGGTTGCTCCTGTATGTGGAGTTCCTATATTTTCTCTGGGTTCTGGAACCTACCCCTCTTTGTACCCCTGTAGGCTGGGAATTGTGACAACCCCACTGTGCAGCCCCAGGGACTGCACTGTGTCTTGCTAGTCCCCCAACCTATTTTCACTCTAGGTTCCATTGCTTCCTGTCAGGATAGACTATGCATTACATGGCATTACACACTTGTCAGGGCAAAATGAGATGATTACCCTATGCCCTACCCACACACACTGCTTGGATGCTGAGTAATGACTTTGGTGCTTACTGAATTGAATTGCCATCTCCTTCACATCCGCTCTGTTCCTTCTCATCTTGTTGTACCTGCTATTGATGGAGACTGAGGAGGAATACCCACTCGCCTGGAAGGCTGTATCCTGACTGTTCCTAAGAAGTGTGTGTCATCATCCTTGTGAAAGAGGATCAAAACAGATGGGATTTAGGGTGGCCTTCAGGTCCTCTTGAGGGGAACATTATTCCTAAGTGAGAGAAGGCTGAAGGGCATCAGCAGTTTTCTGTATGTGCCTCTAGGGAATGATACATGTAGGAATGCTCTCTAGACATGCTCCTGATCTCTTCTTATAGGTATGCATAACTATCATTGGAAAAACGGGACGTTCAGGGGAGGAAACAGCAGAGGGACTCTAAGTTGGTTCAGTGGTATGAACAATGCTAAGATCATTAGAAGCTTCTCTCTGACTCCAAACCCAAGGAGTTAGTTTGTTCAGGCTAGTCTAACAAACTATGGCAGCTTGGGTGGCTTCAGCAACAGAAATTTATCTTCTCACAGTTCTGGAAGCTAGAAGTACAAGATCAAGGTACCATCAGGACTGGTTTCTTTTATGGGCTTTGTCATTGTCTCTTCTCTGAGCATGTGCAGAGAGGGAGCCTTCTGGTGTCTCTTCTTAAAAGGACACTAATTCTATAGGGTTAGGACCCCATCCTTATGACCTTATTTAACCTTGACTCCTTCCTTAAAGATTTTATTTCCAGGTACACTCACATTGAGAGTTAAAGGTTCAACATATGAATTTTAAGGGGGACACAGTTTCATCCATAACAAGGAAGAAATTCAGGGTTGGATGGTCTGTTACTGAGGCAGATGAGAGCTCGGAGGAGAAAATTTCTTTCTCATGTGCACTTTGGTTTAGAGTAGAAGCTCTCCTGGCAATAGGGAGAAGTAGAGAGAAAGGGGAAAGATCAGCACTTGAGAGGGGGGTCCAGGATGGAAGATCAAGATGGAGGATGTCTTGTATGAGGCCCATTTAGATCGAATGAACCATGCCCATAAGCTAGCAGGAAACCCTCCATTCCTGC